GTATTTGTGTATTTACACGTACCTAAACATAGAAAAAGTACAGCAAAAATATGGTATAAAAGATTACAAAAAAAAAAAAAACTAGTACACCTATCATAAATGCAGCTTGCAGGGCTGGAAACTGCTCTGGGTCAGTAGTGAGTGAATGTGAAGGTCTAGGACATTAATGTACACTACTGCAGACTTTATAAACACTTAAACTACGTAAATTTATTTAAAATTTTTTTTCTTTAATAATAAACCTTAGATTATAACTTTATAAACTTTTTCTTTTCAAAAAAATCTTAACTTTTGTAATAACACGGTGTAAAACACAAACACACTGTACAGCTAACCAGAATGTTTTTTCTTTTTCTTAAGAGATGGAATCTCACTATGTTATCCAGGCTGGACTCAAACTCCTGGGCTCAAGTCTCCTAAGTAGTTGGGACTACCAGGCACACACTACCACACCCAGCTCCTATATCCTTATAAGTTTTTTTCTTTCTATTAAAAAAAAATTTTTTTTAACTTTTTAAACTTTCTTGTTAAAAACGAAAACACAAACACACACATTAGCCTAGGCCTACCCAGGGTCAGGATCATTACTATCCATCTTCCACCTCCATATCTTGTCCCACTGGAAGGTCTTCAGGGACAACAACACAACTGGAACTGTCATCTCCTATGATAACAATGCCTTCTTCTGGAATACTTCCTGAAGGACCTGTCATGGGATGATTTATAGTTACCTTTTTTTTTTTTTTAGACACAGAGTTTCACTCTTGCTGCCCAGGCTAGAGTGCAATGGTGCGATCTTGGCTCACCGCAGCCTCTGCTTCCCGGGTTCAAGTGATTCTCCTGCCTTAGTCTCCCGAATAGCTCGGATTACAGGCATGTGCCACCATGTCCAGTTAGTTTAGTATTTTTAGTAGAGATGGTGTTTCTCCATGTTGGTCAGGCTGGTCTCGATCTCCCGACCTCAGGTGATCCGCCAGCCTCGGCCTCCCAAAGTGCTAGGATTACAGGCGTGAGCTACCATGGCCGGCCTACCTTTTTATATGGAGGAGCACACTCTAAGATAATAAAAGGTATCATACAGTAAATACATAAACCAGTAACAGCTGTTTACTGTCATTGTGAAGTACTGTGTACTGCACATAACTGTACTATACTTTTATACAACTGGCAGTGCAGAAAGTTTGTTTACACAAACATCAACACAAACCCATGAGTCATGTAATATACTATAAAATAAGTATATACCAGCTATATCACTAAGGAGTATTTTTCAGCTCCACTATAATGTTATGAAACCAATATTGTTTATATAGTCTATTACTGACCAAAATGTCATTATGTGGCACATGACTATATATTAAACAATTTTACAGAAAATGTTCAACTCGAACGTAATTTCACATGAGAACATATACAGAAAAAGCCTAACATACCTTGTTATAGTAGAGGTTAACTGCATCGTCATTTTATTTGCATGTGATGATGCTTCAAGGGACACTATTTGATCCCATGGATTTATCAAGAGGATACAAGCATGAATATATACAAGATATATGGGCTTAATGAGCTTACATTCCAAGAAGGAAAAAACAATAGTAAATGATAAGAACAATTCAGACTGTGTTAAGTGCCATGAACTAAAAACATATTAAGGGGAGAGGAATCAGAGGAAGAACAATTTCAGACAGAGTGAACAAGAGAAATCTCACTGAAGGTTAAATCTGATAAGAACTGGGCCAGGTGCAGTGGTTCACACCTGTAATCCCAGCACTTCAGGAGGCTGAGATGGGCAAATCACTTGAACTTAGAAGTTCAAGACTAGCCTGGCCAACATGGTGAAACCCACCTCTACTAAAAGCACAAAACTTAGCCAGGCATGGTGGCACATGCCTGTAGTCCCAGCTACTTGAGAGGCTGAGGCAGGAGAATCGCTTGAACCCAGGAGGCAAAGGGTGCAGTGAGCCAAGATTGCCCACTGTACTCCAGCTTGGGCAAAAGAGTGACCACTCCCATCCAAAAAAAAAAAAAAAAAAAAAAAACAATCCTGGTAAGAACAGCCCTGTCACAGATCGGGAGAAACAGACAATCCAACCAACCAAAGGAGAAGGTATAAATGCCTGGACGTGGGAACAAACACCAGCGTGACCACAGCATATGAACACAGAAAGAATCAGTAAGATGATATCACAGAACCCAACCAGACCAAGTACCTCACCTTATAAATCATAATAAGCAGTTTACATTTTATTGTAATCACAATGAGAATTCAGTTAGAGGGTTTTAAACAAGAGAGAGTAATATCTAATTTAAGTTTTTAAAAGATTGTTCTGGCCAGGCACAGGGACTCACGCCTGTAATCCCAGCATTTTGGGAGGCCAAGGCGGAAGGATCACTCAAGGGCAAGAGTTCAAAACCAGACGGCCAACATAGTGAAACCCCATCTCTACTAAAAAAAAAAAACTATATATATACACACACACACACACACACACACACTTAGCTGGGCGTGGTGGCCTGCACCTGTAGTCCCAGCCACTTGGGAAGCTGAGGCAGAATTGCTTGAAACCTGGAAGGCAGAGGTTGCAGTCCAGTGGAGACTGTACCACTGCACTCTAGTCTGGGTGACAGGGTGAGACTCCATCTCAAAAAAAAAAAAAAGATTGCTCTGGCTGCTATATTGAGAAAGTGCTATAGAGAGGCAGTATTAGTGCAAATGTCTACAGTACCTGAAAATCAATGCTTCTGCATAGGATAAGTGCCCTACAAACCTTGGCTATCATTATTATTGCTGTCATCATACACAACCCACGTTGTTGCACGTATATAGTTTTCCTTCCTCTGACAAAGTATATATTCCTTGAGGATAGAACTTCAGTAATCTTATATAAATGAGTACATGAGAATTAGAGATTTTACCAAACTACACTGTGTGTCCTCCAACCAGCAGGATTCTGCTCCAAAAGGCCTGGGACATAGTCAAGGCATGTACATGTTATGGGCTCCCCAGGGGATTCCAATATTGTGCCTTAAAACCACTGGTCAGCGCCATTCCTCTTCTACATCATCCTCTGATACAACGCAAAATCAATGTTTAACAGATTTCTAGAATTAATGACACACATGTTCAATTACGAAGTAGCTGCTTTGAAGCAAATGTAGTAAGAGGTTCACTACTGCTTAATTAGTTATATTTCAGGCCTCAAACAACCAGAGGTATTAACCTTCACCGAAATCCATCTAATATTAGAGTTTCATGGAACCCGACTTTCAACTTGAAAGAAAATACTCACACTGGCCAGGCGCAGTGGCTCACACCTGTAATCCCAACACTATGGGAGGCCGAGGCAGGCGGATCACAAGGTCAGGAGACTGAGACCATCCTGGCTAACACGGTGAAACCAAGTCTCTACTAAAAATACAAAAAATTAGACAGGCGTGGTGGCGGGCACCTGTAGTCCCAGCTACTTAGGAGGCTGAGGCAGGAGAATGGCTTTTATATTTAATACTCCGTGAGGCAGAGCTTGCAGTGAGCTGAGATCCCACCACTGCACTCCAGCCTGGGCCACAGAGCGAGACTCCATCTCAAAAAAAAAAAAAGAAAGAAAAGAAAAGAAAAGAAAAGAGAAAATAGTCACACCAAAAATGCAAATCACTTATAAAAAAATAAAATTTGTCTATATTAAAATTTCACTACCAAATACAACTTAGCAGTGGTAAAGTAACATGGTAAAGTGGTAAAGTATACAACTTAGCATTGGTAAAGTAACAGCACATTCTCATTTATTTTCCCTAAGAATTTCATGTAAAGTAGTTTTTTTTGTTTGTTTTTGAGATTGAGTTTCCCTCTTGTCACCCAGGCTGGAGTGCAATGGCACCATCTCGGCTCACTGCAACCTCCACCTCCCGGGTTCAAGCGATTCTCCTGTCTCAGTCTCCCGAGTAGCTGGGATTACAGGTGCCTGCCACCATGCCCAGCTAATTTTTTCGTATTTTTAGTAGAGACGGGGTTTCACCGTGTTGGCCGGGCTGTCATGTAAAGTTTTTAAAGCTCAAAAGCAAACTCTAGATATAGCTGACAGAGTGATAACTTGAGAATTCCATTTGTTTGGTTGTATCCTACTCAAAGTTGCCAATTTAATATTATTCAGTTAATAGTTTCCAAATAATAACAACCAACGCATACAGGAAACTACTTTAGAAAGGAACAAAAGAATAAAAAACTAATTTATTCACCTTTATTTGGATGGATCTATGAGAATTACTGCTATGCAATAAAAAGCAATTCTAAAGTAGTTATTTTAACTAATTCCATCAAAAATTTATCTTTTAAAAAGTAATCAATCACATGATGAAACTTCTATGAATAATGGAATTATGACCTGATACTCAAATGAGACAAATGTATATTTTGTTGTTTTAAAAAATTAATCTCGGGACAGACAGATCATCTGGAAAACAAAAAAACCTTTAACTGGAAAAGATAATATCCTATGAACAACCACTGTAAGAATTACAAATCAGACGCATTAGACTAAATTAAACAATCCTAATTTTCAAAGTTTTAAATTTTAGAACCATTCTTAATTAGTATTACTAAACCAAACTGTTCATTGATTAACAATATCAAATTTAAAGGCTTTAATTAGAAGTGCATAGTTACACAGAGAATATTACAGTCATGGAAAAATAATTTTGCCAGTTCGAGTATTACTTGTTTACCTTTCTAACCTCACGATGAACCATATGTTTGAAGAAAATTGTGGGCCCTGATGAAAATTACTAAAAAAGGGGGAAAATAATTTAAGATACTTAACTCCTCAGTATTAAATATAAAAGCAGGAATATGAAACACCTTCATTTATGAAATGTCTAAATATAAATATACCATCATTTAACACAATATATTATAGTAAAAAGCTATGGAGGTTTAGGCAGAACCACAGTGTACAAATTCATTGTTTCTTCTCTCACATTGTATAAGTCCTATTATTTGGTTTTAGTTATTCCACACCCAAATTACACACACACACACACACACACACACACACACACACACATCTATAAACCTGTATTTTAAACTATGAAGCCTTACGGATGGATTCTGACATTTTTCTAGTAGCTCAATAGCCAATTTCTCCAATTTTCCAATAAAATTTCATAGTGGCAATTTAAGAAGAAAACAAGAAATGCTGAATTAAACACATTTTATATACATTTTGGGACACAAGTCAGGAAGGAAATCACTGACCTATAGAACTTTTGCATTCAAATGTAGAAACACTCTTGATTCTCTTTACTCACATATCATCTTTAATATACATTATACATTTACAAACAACAATTGCTCTTCCATCCACATAGCTTTAAAAAATGTGACATAGTCAAGCACTTTAGTAATTACTCTAACAGGCATTTCTTTCAGATATTAACTTAAAATATATACAACTTATAAGAAATCTTACTTGGTTTTACAACTCTCTGGTAAAACGTCAGACAACTAGCTTTCTGCAGCACCAAAAAGACACAGTACTATGTAAGACACCTCATTAGTGACTCATCTGTATGCTCCCATGATACCAGCACAGGAATCATCTCAGTCAAATTGACCACTTACTCTCAAAACCAAAAAGTACCCTCCCCACCAAAGATACCTAAAATTCATCATCACACATTCTCTACTTCAAATGCAAAAGAAGTAGACTACAGAATAAGAGAACTGACAAAAAAAAAGTTATCAATAGTCACACTTAATATTATAAAATAAAGCTGGAATTTCCTAATGGAAATAAGCCTGGATGCTCTTTTATTAGACTCCCAAGCCCCTCAAAAACAGCATTTTCACTAACTTTAACTGCTAGCTAATGTTAACTTACAAGTCCACGGATCAACCCCAAATTAAAAACTCCTGCTCTTAATAATTACAACTAATACATTTACATTGGCAATAGAGATCTACAGTCCCTTATTCAAACTCTTCAGGCCAGTAGATGTGCTTCAGAACTGAGAATCTGGAAAATACTGCTGCAGAGAAGTATAATTTATAAATATTAACTCTCATGGGAAAATGATATAAATAAACACCAATATTAGCCTCACATCGCAGTTCAGTGTAAGTCATATTTTATCAACCAAATGAATTAGGGAAAAAAGTTCATGCCCAGGGGTGAGGCTACAGTATCAGAACACTTGCTTGTGCATAACTAAGGTGACCTGCCCTCTTTAAGCAGTCCTTTTAACTGGGAGCAAAGCGAAGACAGCAAAAAAAGAGAAAAGTTCAATTTTCAGGAATTTCTGAATTTCAGAATTGCACAGAAGGAATTGTGGACCTAAAATTGGGATGTTTTAAGAAGGTTTTTATCAAATGTTTAAAATGTTTCCCTATTAATGGAAATTAAACACATATGGATGGGAAGGTTTAGGTAATTGAGACTGTCAGTAGTTGTCAAAAGAGTCGTTTTGAAAATACATGAGAACATTTTCATTGTCACAATGAATGGACTTGTCAAAGGCCAGTGATGGTTAATATCCTGTACCAACTTATTTTAAATGTCCTCCAGCCCTGAAGCTGAAAAAAATTTTACAATTATCTAAGCCTAGAACCTAACTGTACACATATAAAGAAAAAGGGATGGAGTTTTTTTACACAGTAGTTTAATAGACTGTAAATTAAGGGAAGATTAAACTTGTTTGAAATTTTCCCAAGTGGTGTCTCTCCGCTTGAAAAAATCTTGTCAAGGATAAGCAATATCTTTTTTTTTTTTTCCACAAGGATGTAAACATTTTTCTGTTTTCTTCTCATCACAAAGATACACACTTTGGCCTATACATGAGTTGATCAGAAATTTTGTGGACTAGCCTGGATATCTAAACACTACTTACAACATTATTTCTATCAATTATTTAAAAAACTAAGTTGGTGTCTTCTGAAATCAGGTTTATGGATAATGAATCACGGAAAATTGCTGACAATAATAGCTAGCACTACTTCAATATAAACTTAATTTACTCACATTTATAAACACTAATATTACAATTCTTAAAAATTAAAAATTGAAGACTACATGGAATCAATTTTTTTCACATAATATACTGTCTGTAAAATTCAACATTAATGTGTTCGTATTACTTTCATACCTAATCAATTGGGCATCAAGAGACTTTACCAATTATCTCTGTGAATTCTACCATTGCTAGTAATTCTTAATACTCAAGTTGGAATTTTGGGCCAATCTATTAAAACCTTGTTAGCATTTTTGTTTTCTCAAGCAAACACATTTTTACCTACCCACACTTCTCAGTGCTAGAGAGCAACTTTTAGAAGCATTAGCAAACCACCACCAGTGGAATCGGATAAACGCCGGTGATTCAGATAACTCCAGGAAAGATTTAGCCTCCTGTGATTTTCCTAAATATCAGGGAAAGAAAACACATATATCCTATACTACTAATGTTATTTGAATGCTTGGTTTACATAGCACACTAATTTCTCTTTTCCACTAGTTTCCATAAATACTAAAATATCAAAAAGTACTACTTTTGGCTAAAAGTTTTCAAAACGACCATTATATTTTCACACTATTTAATTAAAAAAAGAAACCAAGCTACCAAACTTACATTCAGGCAAAAAAAAAAAAAGCGTTTTTCTCTCCCCAATAAAATGTAGAAATATTTTAATTTACACATTACAATGAATCAATAAGGAGTCAAAATCCAGTTACACATTCATAAAAATTCCATATATCATCCTCAGAATAATCAGTTTCTGTACAAAGATTTACAGGTGTCCAAGTATGTAGTTTTTCCTCAGTGTGCTACAGAATTTAAAGGCTCTGCTCGAATATTCCCCAAATCAAGCACAGTATCTGTTTCTTCGTCAATTTCTCCAATGACTGCAACGTTGTCACCTCTTACAATGTATAATCCCAGTACCACTTGCTTTACCCCTTGTGAAGAGCTGAATACTCGCTCATGGCTTTCATCCAAAATCAAATTAATGGTCTGGTCAAAACCTTTCAGTGTTCCCATAATCATTCTCCCACCAGATGTAATAACGGCAACAGTTCGGTTGACGTAGTTCTCCAAGGCGGAGGTCATGCTGCTCCGCCCGGCAGTTCGGGGTAACGCAGGGGTGCCGGCGACAAGCAGAACTGAAAGGGCGCGCCAGAACCCGGCAGCGGTTCGCGCCTGCAGGCCGCAGCAAATATCGTGAGAGTTACTGCTTACAGCAATGCCTCTCTTAATTATAATTTGGTTGCCAATCTGCATGAGTAGCAGTTGCATTCATGATGAGCCTACATCCAAGGACAAAAGCATCATTCTCAACTCTGGCTGCACATGAGAACTATCTATGCCCAGGCCAACACCCTTAACCAATTAAATTAGAATCTCTAGAAGGCAGGACATAGGCATCAGTATTTTTGCTCTGTTTCATTGTTTGTTTTTGAGGTAAAGTTTATGTATAGTGAAATGCAGAGGTCTTAAGTCTACAACTCTATTGGAGTAACAAACACCCCAATCAAGATACAGGACATTTCCCCTACTCAGAAAGTACCCTCCTGCCCTACATCCAGTCAGTGCCCCCACTTTCCATAAGCAATCACTCCTCATATTTCTAATGCTATAGCCTCATTTCTGAACTTCATATAAACATAATCCATCACATAGTGTGTACTCTTCTGTACCTGACTTCTTTCACTAAACACAGTGTTTCAGAGATTCATTCATATTCATTTCATCAAGAAAAAAGTAGTTCATTCTTTTTGACTGCAGAGTAGTATTCCAGTGTATGAACACACTGCAATTTGTTTATCTGTTCTTTTTGTTGACCAACAGCGGAGTTGTTTTAATTTGTGGACTATTAAAGCTGTTATAAATCTCCCTATACATTTTGGGGACATGTTTTCACTTCTCTCGAGCAAATACCTAGGAGTGGAACTGGTGCAGCTGTATGTTTAATTTTAAAAGAAACAGGCATCAACTTTTTTTTACGGTTCCAGGTAACTCCAATGCAAAAAGCCTTTATGTTTTCTAATGTGGTCATGGCAAAGTATTCTAACATTTTTGTCTGTCCCATGTTTTCTGTTCCAGTCAAGAAAAAATTATGTTGCATTTTCTTTTTAAATCCTTTGTATAGGTTGGAAGATTATACTACCTATGAATTTCACTTGAAACAGAAAAAAGGGGCATTTAAATATATACGCTGTATAAAAGGGGGCACAGAGTCATAAGAGTCATATGATTTGAGAACCAGATGAATTTGACTGAATCTGTCACCAGAAAAATAAAAATTTATGTATAATTCCAATGTCGTATTCCATTTGTATTTGAGAACTATGAAGTCCATCCTCAGAATACTTACAAGTCCACAGACCAACCCCAAATTAAAATCTCCTGCTCTTACATTAAATTCTATGAGTCTTGACTTCACTGTGTGTAAGATGACCAAAGATAGAAATCATAAAATATATTAAACTACATAAAACATATGACAAAGGACACTATCAATTGTGTTATTAAAAGTTATGAAATTAAAGAATCTAAATATTAAGACTTCTTCTAAATCAATAAGAAAAAGATGGCCTCCACAGAAAAACGAAAAAAAGGGCAATAAACACATGACTCCTAAAATGAAATAAAAGCAGCCAGAATATTTAAGATGCTCACCTCATTAGATGAATTTTTAAGTGATCAAATTACCATTATTTCCATCAGATTGACAATTAAAAAAAAAAAAAAACTCGTAACACCACGTGTTAGCTAGCATTATATAGACACATCTATTATCACACTCTTAGTGGAGGCATACAATAGTATAAATGTCCTTGATGACAATTTGACAACATGTATACATAAAGTTAATGTGTATACGCAATGTCTACTTTTAAAAATTTCTCCTTAGAAAGTACAGATGCTCCTTGACTTATGATGGGAGTTACATACCGATAAAATAATTTCAACTTATAATAGGTTTAAGTAAAAAATGCATTTAATATACGTAACCTACCAAACATCATAGCTTACTCTAGCCTACTTTAAGCACGCTCAGAACACTTACATTAGCTGCAGTTGGGCAGAATCACTAAACACAAAGTCTATTTTATAAGAAAGTGTTGAACATATCATGTACTCTACTGAATACTGTATTGAAAATGAAAAACTGAATGGTTGTATTGGTACTCAAAGTAGGATTTCCATTGAACATGTATTGCTTTACACCACCATAAAGTCAAAAAATCCTAAACTGAACCATCCAAAATTGGGGACAATCTGCACTAAAAAATCAACTAGACATATGTACCAGAGTTTCACAAAAAGGGTTAAATTATAATAGCAAAAAATAATGGGAGAGGGTGCTAAATAAATATACCTTAGTAGTGGTTGGTTAAATATAGTCTGACTCATCCAAGCAACTACATTCTAAGCTGCTTGTAATATTATTACCATACACAAAGAGCAGCATGGTTATACTACCTTGAAGAAGGCCAGGCATGATGGCTCACACTTGTAATCCCAGCACTTTTCAAAATCCCCGTTTTAGGTGTATTGTGAAGATCACTGGTGATATGACAATGTCATTTCCAAGTGGAATTATTAAAGTCTTCACCAGAAATTCAACTCCAGCTATGTTGTGCTTCAGGGTGCAAAACTATCAGCAGACTAGAGCAGATTCTTCCAAATGCACAACTTGTGTTCAGGTTTATACACCTTTTGTTTTGAAGGTTGAAATTTCTTTTTAAGAAATTTTTTCCTGCCAGGGGCAGTGGCTCACCCCTGTAATTTCAACACTTTGGGAGTCTGAGGCAGGTGGATCACTGGAGCCTAGGAATTCGAAACCAGCTAGGCAACATGGCAAAACACCACCTGTACCAAAAAAAAAAAAAAAAACAACAAAACAAAAGTCAAGTTAGGTGGGCCGTGGTGGCGCGTGTCTGTGTCCCAGGGGCTGAGTGGGAGATCGGCTTGGGCGCTGGGAGGCACAGGTTGCAGTGAGCTGGATTTGCGCCCATGCCTCAGGCGGCTTGAGGTGTGACGAGCGAGACTCCATTCTCAAAAAAAAAAAAAAAATCATCTTTAATGTTGTTTATGATTATTCATCACCCCGCGTTTCAGTGAATGATAAGTACATGAATGCTGCATGCATGCTATATGGGCATTTTAAAAACTCGCACTTCACACAACAGCACCACCCCCAGGGGCCCTTCATTTCTGATCCACTCCACAGGATTCAATAATGTTAGTGCCACTTACACCAGATACGTACTCCTAATATTTACACAGCACTTCTAAAATAAATTAGCCAAATGTGAATTTTCTGCTTTACAAGTGTCTCCCCTTGTTAGGGGGGTGGGGGGATTACTTCCAGGGTCCTCAGGAATACACCTGACCCACGATAGTGTGGAACTCTATTATATCATTTATGTTGGCTCTATAAACTGAAAAGCTTATACTTATGTGACTAAAATGGTGGTATTTTATATGGATTGCTAAACAAGGGGATATTCAATCTTGCTCTGGATGTGCAAGATGGAAAGATTCTTACTTCTACTCGAACAGCATGCATTTCAACTTATGATTATTTCCTGGAATTTTCCTTGTATTTTTGATCTGTGTTTGATGCGGAACTGAATTTGGCAGAAAGGTAAGCGGCATGGTCGGAAGACAGTTGTAGTTGTCACTTGACTTTAAACTTACTGACCCTTTGGAGTTTAACCTCCTTGTTCGATAGCCAAATCACCTGGGATATGAGAAATTTTCTTAAAGAAAACTATATCATTATTTCTGATGTTTTTTTTTCGGTTTTGTTTGTACGCGCCCAATTTTTGGATGGAGTATCGCCCCAGGCTGGGGAGTGGCAATGGCACAATCTTTGGGCTACCACACCTCTGCCTCCAGACAAGGGATTTCTTCCCTTGCCTCTAGCTTTCCCAAGTGGCTGGG